TGGACAGCTGCAACCAGAATGAAAGTCTAATTAGTTTGGAAGCTTCCATGAAACAAGTATACCCCACTGCTTAATTTTACATTTTATTGTCAAAGAAATACTGACAGATTTAAAACAATGGTATGAGTAATTTTTCTAACTTTGTCAAATCACTTCTGCTGTCTTGACCAGATTAGTATCTTAGAGTACTCTTTTAACCTTTTCTCCATAATAACTGAAAATATCTGACCACACTGAATAATCTCCATCATAGATTATTGGAATTTAGTCCTTAACCTTTTAAACATAGTAATAGAAATGCTGTTGTGCTTTAAGACGACTTGAGAATATCAGCCATTGAATTGATAATCAGATACAGCAGAAATCAGGAATAATTGGAGACCCTGGTTAGCCAAGGAAACCTTGAAGAGATATGAAGAGTATAGCTAGTCGATCTCCCTTTCATTCATATATTCAAAAGACATTTATTAAAAGAATCTGACCTGAGAGAATTTGGGATGCTGGTAGTCAGGACATTGTTAAGAAAAAGTCCATGACTTCAAGGATCAGGATGATAGTTGAGGAGACACCTCTAAGGACTGGGAAAAGCACCCTAAAACTAGCAGTCCATTTGTACTTGTTAAGTGCATGACTAGAAACTAATCTAATCCCCTTGAACACTGATGTTGCTTTAATGACTAAAGCAATGGACACATATTGAATTGCCTAGCATGGTACTGAAATCATGGTATCTATATGTGTTCTTTCAATGATGCATAAAAAGTAACTATACAAGTCCTATGTACTGATAAATTAGGATGGTTCTGATGGAAAATGCATAGCTGTGTCAGGCCAATGGCATAAATCAAAGAAAAACTCGTGTTTCTCTATATATGGTCTCATTTTCATCCTGTTTCACCTATCTGAATTTTTCCTCTAACTCAGTATGGCATGCTAATTACAAGAGCAGCAGAGTTTTTAACCTACTAGACCTAGAGTTTGGATTTTGATGCACATTTTAAACTCATGATGAGGAGCAGAAAGGCATTGATATTGCTTGATTTGGCAATATAAATTGTTGCATTGGCAAGTTACTTCCTGTACTAATGAAGAATAACTTCCAAATAAGTAATGAAATGAAGCCATCTAAAAGAAGCCATTGCTTAGGAAACAAACTAGCCTACTCCATGGCTTTACAAGATGATCTATTCAGACTATATCTAAAGAAACCTACTAAACAGATCTGGCTTAGAATGAAATAACAAATATTAAATTTTGCACCAGTTCTAGGTGCTGATTGCACCAATACTTTTAGATCAGCAATGCTGCTGCCTTCTGGTTTCTACTCTACTCATCCACTTTACACTCCTTTTTCTCATAGGCAGGAGGTAATGGAGAGCTCCATGACAAATTATGGTGCAGAAGAGCAATTGCCTCTGAGAAGTCTTTTAATAACTTTGGGCTCTATACCAAAGCTTGGGAATGCCGAAGACCTCAGAAATTACTCTTTCTCCATGGGGTAGAAAGGAATAATATTTTTAAGCAAAAGGGCAGCTCATTCTCATGACTTATGAATTTAGTTAATATGTGGGCTAGAAACTGCATTGAGCGAAATAACATTTTCCAAAGTGTCTTCTATAGATGTGTTTATAATTGTTCTTCCATCAACAACAATCACAAAGTCTTTCATAGTCAACCAGATTTAGGGGATGAAAGCTTAAAGTCAATGTATAATTTTAGTACAGGAAAATTAGTCTTTATTTGAATTTTGAAAAGGAGTATATAGAACTCAGCTTTAACTTCCTAAACTTATCAAGCTGTGGAAACTTTATTTTATACTTTCCCTCATGGAATTCCTAACTCTTCTATGGGATAGACTTGTAGAAATACTGACCTTTGAGAACAGATACATTACTTTCAGATATTGACATTTCATACTTTCCACAAAATATAAATAAATATAAATAATATAACTTTATTTGTCAAGGAAATTTATCCCTTTAAATGAAGATAATTCTACCCAATCATTATTGTTGAATTAGTGATCTGGATTCTATTTATTCACAATAGGAGTGGTTCCCACTGATCAACCCATCTTTGGAATATAGGAGTCTAGTTTTCCAAAGTGGATGTTAATGACCCGTGCCCAGAGCAGTACAGATTCTGTTGTCCCAATAGTATTGAACCTCTAACAATGGTTTCTTTAATTTCTGATTTGTTTGAAAATTTGGTTCTACAATCAGAGTCCTACAAAGTTATAGACCTCTTCAATTAATAAACAAAAAGAAAGACTTTCCTGTCTAATTCCTCTCAGTGATTTCCAAATATTCATTCTCATGTCTGTTCTCATACTACTTTAATTCATTTTGGTTCATGGTACAATAGTGTATAGAGCTTTGAAACCACAGGCAGATTACTATACATATACCTTTGAAACAAAGGCAGATAATTGTGTGTATACTGTAAAGATGGCAAGTCTTCAGCAGGTCCAGGCTCTTATAATGATACTATTGAGTCAAACTGAGCAACTTCTACATTACAAAATATCAAATGACATCAAATATGTGGCATCAATAGCATAAGACAATTCATTGACTAAGCATCCCATACTCACTTCCATTAAGAAGCCAGCCTCTCACCAAAATTAGATTTCTTGCTTGAACTTATTGAGCAAGATTTTGATGTAAATAAGAGATGTGATTTTTAGCGGGCTGCTGTTGGTACATGCCTCTAATCCTAGCTACCCAGGAGGCTGAGATCTGAGGATCAAGGTTCAAAGCTAGCCCAGGCAGGAAAGACTGTGAGACTCTTATCAATAAACCACTAGGAAACAGGAAGTGGCCGTGTGGCTCAAGCGGTAGAGCGCTCACCTTGAGTGTCGAGACAGCGCCCAAACCCAGAGTTCAAGCCTAATGACCAGAGAGAGAGAGAGAGAGAGAGTCTAGAGAGTCTATTGAGAGAGAGAGAGTCTAGAGAGTCTATTGAGAGAGAGAGAGAGTCTAGAGAGTCTATTTTTAACATTCTTTAAAAAATATTCCTATGTCCAACTGTGCACTCCTTAAATGCTCACCTGTTACTTTGAACATGTCCTTATGCATTAAAATTTTGATGGCTATGTAACACCTGTATATCTCGAGATGTTCAGTAAGATGTGCCATGCGTGCACTGTGTACTAATCTAGTCACAACAATTAATGTGTCCACCTGCTGCTGGTAGTTACACACATCCTGATTCTCTCTGATGATGAATCTCGGGACTACTGTGTGAAGCAGATCTTTAAAAATTCAAAAAGGCCCTTGTCCATGTAATTGTAAACCCTCTGTACAGTATTTTCACACCCCTCTGTACAGTATTTTCACAATAAAAAAAAAGAAATTAAAAACGGCAGGGCATTATAGAAAGACCTAGTTTCAGTTTTCTGCGCATGGATGGCCAATTTTTCCAGCACTAGTTGTTAAAGAGGCTTACTTACAACCTGTGTTTTGGGCTCCATTATCAAATATTAAGTGGCTATAGGTTTGTGGTTCATTTCTGGGTCTTCTATTCTGTTCCATTGGTCCTCGGGCCTATACTTGTCTGTATCAAGCTGGTTTTTTTTATTACTATGGATTTGTAATAGAGTTAGAATTTGGCATTGATGTTCCTTCAACACTTTTCTTCAGGATAAGGATTGTTTTTGCTTTTTGGGATCTTTTATTATTCTGTATGAGTTTCAGGATTTCCTTTTCTATTTCTTTGAAGAGTATTGTTGGGATTTTGATGGATATTGCATTGAGTTTGTAAATTGCTTTGGGCAGTATTGCCATTTTCACAATCCAGGAGCATATGAAACTTAAGAAATAGTTACAGGAAACCATGGACCTATGTTTCTTTGGGTCTGGCTTAATCCAATTAATATGACTTTTTCCAAGTCTTTCCATTTCCTTACAAATGAGGCCGTGTCCCTGAGGGAAGCATAGAATTCTATTGTATAAATATTCTACATTTTCTTATCTATTCATCTACTGAGGGGCACCTGGGTTGGTTCCATATCTTAGGTATGCTAAATAATGCTGTAATAAACATAGTTATGTTGGTAGCTTTAGTATGGCCTTATTTGTAGTCATTTGGGCAAATGCCCAGAAGTGGGATTACTGAGTATAGGGGAGCTCCGTGTAGTCTTTTGAGGAACTACCATACAGCTTTCCAGAGTGGTTGAACAAGTTTACACTTCCACCAGCAGTGCTGTTGTCAATGTATTTGATTTTGGTACCCTAGTATTGTACATTTATCTGAATTAGGGAAGGGAAGGGGAATAAAAGAATAGTGAGACAAAGGACAAGGGCAGAACCAATGCAACAGTGATACACACAAGAAAATATGTTGTAAATCATCTGTACAACTTGGGAGGAGGGTTAGAGGGAGAGAAATTAGGAGAAAAATGAGGGAAGGGGTAACATGGTTGACAAGAGATGTACTTATTATCTTACTTATATAATTGTAACTCCTCTGTACATCACCTTGACAATAAAAAAATTAAAAAAAAGAAATAGTTACAGGAAAAATATTCAAAGCTCTAAATAAGACTACTTTTGAGTTGAACTTAGATGGCCTACAAAACATGACTATTTAACTTTCACAAACCACAGATTTATATTGCCTTAAGTGTAGTGTGTGCTGTCTTTGTGGATGCTTCCATTATTTTTGGTAGTTCCATTAATGACATTGATGTTATTGCTCGAAGTTTCTCAGAATTTCTTTCATTCAGCCCTAATATACAAAGAAATGTTGAATAGTGCCTAAGAGACAGCAAAATGTTTGACAGGAGGAACAATCTGAACAATGCACCTACAAGTATGTTTCAGTCATACTCTTCTTATTTATCTGTGTTCTATTTTAGGGCATCTTGGGACAAGAATGCTCATCAAGCTGAAAAGAAAGAGAAGAAAAGGAAAAATGAGATGATGCCATACACTATACTGATTTAAATCCTTGTACTTTGTTATTTTTCTAGGCGAAAGGAAGATCTTCAAAAACCAAAAATGAAATTCATTTTTACCTGCCGGTGCTTTGCACTGTTTGTTCTTCTGAATGTAAGTAAAGCAAGACTCTTCTGAGCCATGTTAATTGAGATGGCTGATGAGAAAGTAATGTTTGAGTGTGATTGGCTTGACATTTACAAGGTTAGGCATCGTTCTCCTAATGTGAAAACTAAGTTCCTTAAAAAAATCTCTTTTGTTAATATTTTGTTGACATGTCTCCCTTCTTAACCTTTGCTAATTGGTTTTGTGATTTTCACAGAAAAATTTGAGATTTATTAGTTCACAAAAATTTAGTATTATTTTTAAACATCTCCATTATTATCTTCAAAATTAGTAATGAGAATTGACAATATTCTCAAATAAAATGTCAAGTTAAGTTATAATTTCTGAACTGTTCAATGCTTTTAAAACATCTGAATTCCATTGGTCTTATTAATAATTTTACATTTACTTCTCCCCAAAACAAAGAAGTTTTAAGACTTTATATAGCATTGTTATTCTATAACTCTTTTTCCAGACCTTAAAATCATGATTAAATTATTTAATTTCCAAAAGGTCTAAAAGATTTATCTAGCTAGAAGGGTAATCAAGTAAGAAGACACTATTAAAGCCTGCCTATTTGTGTCAACATTGCTAACCCATCATTACTTTAGCTTCAGTAAGACATAAAAGGGAGCTGAATAAATTTACATAAATACGTTGATCTTTATCCTCTTCACCACATCAGAATAGTATTCACAAATGGATGCAGCTGCCAGTAAGGAGTACTTAATATCTCATCCCATGAAACTGACCCAACCAAGGCTTATGTAGGATTTCAGGATTTCATTATTATTAATATGTAGTTCCAGGGTTATAAGTAACCCAAACTGTTTCCCTTTCCATTAGTCGAGAACAAAATTATTCCGAGTGTTCCCTAAATGTTAATTTAATTAAGAAATGAAGTTTTATTTTGTAATGCTATCTATCAAATAAATGGTTTTGAGAAATGATTGTTAATGAAATTTTTTATACCTCTTTGGTAATATGGATAGTTTATTTATCCTATCAGGCTGTTAGATAACTTCAATTTATCAAATAAATATTTCTTTTGCTAAATTACAGTATAATTTTCTAAAAGTTACCCAGTACTTGTAAATACAGGTTATGTCATGCTGTTGGAAAATTATACAAGTTCCTCAATAAGAGAGACTGCCAGAATGTTTTATTTAATCTATAAGTATTCATGCCTTTTCCGATATATGCAGAAACGCTGGAACTTCTGTGATTCTTATGTTGTTATTTGTTTTAATTCAAATAAAATCTTATGTGATATAGTATATGTAATCATTTCTAAACTTTGTTTAATAAAACATATGATTATATTGGATATCATGGGAGAAAAACTAAATACCAACAAAATAGATTGAACTACAGATAAACTTTGTATTTAGAAAAAAATAAAGCATGTCATTTTTTGTTCTTGTTTTTGTTTTTTTTGTCGGTTGTGGGCCTGAACTCTGGGCCTGGGCACTGTCCCTCAGCTCTTCAGCTCAAGGTTAGCCCTCTACCACTTGAGCCACAGCGCCACTTCCAGCTTTTTCTGCTTATGTGGTGCTGAAGAATCAAACCCAGGGCCTCATGCATGCAAGGCAAGCACTCTACCACTGAGCCACCTTCCCAGCCTAGCATGTTATTTTTATACAAAGTTGTGCCTAATAAGTTTTGCAACTTAAAAATTGAAAAATTAACATATGACTTTATGCATTATATACAGAATTACTTTATGGTTAGTGGTCATCTCTTGATTAGCAAATGTAACTGAACAGTGTATCTAAATGGTGTTGTGCTCTCTTTACTATGGAAAAAAAAGAAATTCTATCCTCTATATTTGGACTACATACTTCATTTGGAAGATTTGTCCATAAAACAAAATTTGATACATAAATTTTCTTCAAACACTTTCTTCCACTCTTCAAAGAAAGGAACATTTTTTTCTATGACATATTCTTTTTTAAAACAAAAAAAAAGTCTTCCTGAAGCAATCAGTAGGCAGCTTTCCTTTCTGCTTCAATGAGCTTGGACTATTACACAGGCAAAGCATTTTTCAAAGCTCCAAACCAAACCATTCTATAACTGTTCTTCTCAAAGCTATCTGTAACCCAAAATACACTGATTGACATATCAAAGTAGGAACTGCTATAGTGTGTGATCATTTCATAGTAGAATATTTTCCTCTCCTTTCAATGATGAGGATAGATAGAACATTCCAGAATGCAAGCCCCACGAGGTCAGGAACCTTGCAAGTCTTGTTCACTTTTCCAGAAGCTAGAGTTTTGCAGAAAGTTAAAAGTATTTCTCAAATGATTCCATGACGTCTCAACAGCTGATTACTGTTGTGGGCAGCTTGGCTGTCATATGTGTGGAGCCATTTGCTTGAACTTTGAGAAGTCACATCGCATATATGATGGCTAAACTGCCACACTGGAGATTTTGGTTTGGTTTTTGACAAATCATGTAACATAGTTTATTTGCAAAACTTGAACACTAGTCTTTATTGAAAGAATATGCCCTTGGTGTGTCATTTCTATCACCATTTAATATATAGAATAGAAGAAATCATCTAAAATATGGATTCATATATTTATTGAAATCCCTCAAAAGCATAGTATAGACACAACACTTGTGATAAGTCGATATTTTTACATCTTTCACACTGCTTGATTTTTTTTTGGCAGGGGGGAGAGGGGTTGGTCATGGGCTTGAACTCTGGGCCTGAGTTGCTGCCCCTGAACTCTTCAGCTCAAGGAGAGTGCTCTACCACTTGAGCCACAGCACCACTTCCACCTTTCTGGTGGTTAATAAGAGTCTCATGGAGTTTCCTGCCTGGGCTGGCTTTGAACCACGATCCTCAGATCTCAGCCTCCTTAGTAGCTAGGTTTACAGGCATGAGGCACAGTGCCCAGCATGCTTGATTGTTTTATGTAATCCCTACAGATTTTTCTTTTGCCCCGCTATGATGACAATAATTGCTGAAAAATTACTACCTCAACACAATTTTTAGTTTATATTAAACATCAGAAAAGTTTTAATGAATTTTTTGAAGTTTGTAGTGTTACTTTTAAGCAATAATAAATTTCATGAGTTCAATTATATATGCATACAATATTTATATACCTGTAAGTATATACCCTTTTTTCTGTATATGTATACATACACATACATATATAACATACATTTTCTATATATATATGGATATATGTAGACAGAGAGTGTATGTATGTTCCAATGTGTATATTATTTTAAGAATAAATTTATCACACATTCATCTACCACTAGGAAATTTGCATAATCAATTCTCAAATATGGTAGACCAGGAGCAGACTCACATTGCTGTGACCCACCTGACAGCAGACTTCTGATTTCTCATTCCTTCAGTGTTAAAGCAATCTCTATTGAACCAAGCTCCAAACCAAGTTCATTGGAGTTTGTTTCAATATTGCAAGAATAGTAAGATTGTCATTGACATGAGCTTTACCTACTCTCACTAAGATATTATTTCCATGGTATCAGATATTAAGGCTACGTTACACAAAACAAAGATGTGATTGAAAAATGGGCCAATTTTTCACTTGATATCTTTGTACATACTATTCCTCCATGGAACCAACAAATTTCCGACTAGTCCAGGAACATTTCTTAATGGTTTTTCAGTCATAGGAAAACAATGCTCATCTGGGAAAAAAACCTTAAAGGAACTAGTTTCTAAAGTGCATGTAAAATTTGAGTTGATGACAAATCTAGCCCAGAAGTTAATAATGCACAAATGACAATTCTCATATCAACTAAAGAATCTAAGAGTAAAAATATCTTTCTTAGATACTTCTTAAAATATGTCTATATTCTAAAACAACAAGCATCTAGAATAGATACATAAGCCATTAACATCTCTACTGTGTAAGCTCCATGAGCTTTTCTTTCTTTGATGGCTCAGTAATAGTAAGTTGAATTCTTAAAGTACACACTAATATATTTATCCAAATCTGGATTAATTAAATACAAAAAATTAAACACAAGAACTCTTCAAGGGTTTTTTTTAAGTTTCACAATGCTTGTTCCAATTCCTAATAGAATGACAGTTACTCATGAAACTTTATTCTTTATAATTTATTGGTGTCAGGTTGTTTGTTAAAAAAAATTGTGTCCACTTTCATGAGTAAAGGGTTTGCACAAAATCATTTTACTTGGTTCATTAATTTCTCTTTTTTCTATAATAAATTTAATAAATATTATACATTTAATGTTATCATAAAATGAGTACACATTAATATGTAATCTATGTATTCAAGGATAATATCAACTTTATTTACAATAAGTGTCCATTGTTATAACAGTAAAAAGAATCTATTTTTATTCAGACACATTGTTGACATTTCTATAACATATAAATCAATCCATGTAGGTTGTGTGTTGGTGAAACTAATTTAAAGATCTCAAAGTCAATTATCAGAGTCCCCAAATTCCATATTTTGTTTATTCTGTTTAATAAATAGAAAAATATGTCTGGCAAGGTACATGATCCAATCCCAAAAATATTTACTGAAAAACTCAACCAAAGAATCACGTTTATTGCACTCTTGTTTTTAATAATGTGATCTGTAATTTATAAGAGTTCAAAAGCAGGCAAAATTAACTTACTATTAGTGTTTTTGGAAACTAGTTGCTTTCTTTTGTTTCCATCTAAACTTTACAATGATAATCAAAGTGAAATAATCCTAGATGATAGAAAAATATGCATGTGTGGATGCTGAATACATCTTAAAAGAATTCTAAAATTAGTAGAGTTTATATATGAAGGACACATATACTTTTTAATTGTAAAACAAAATGTTCTACATGGAAATAATAATGTTTTTTCCTAAGAGGAAAAGTATTTGCAAATTTTTATTATCTCCATTATGCATGTATTCACCAATCCCTACTCTGAGTAAGTAACTGAGTTTCCCTTTTAATACAGCAACCAACCCCAATTCTTCCTGCCTCTTCAAATCTCACCTATCAGCCAATGGATCATGAGCCGTTTCTGTACATGTTGGGACGCAAGAAGTTGCTTGATGCTCAGTACAAATGCTATGAACGAATGGAGCAGCTGCCTCCATACCAGGGAGAAGGTAAAGAGAAAGGCACATATGGAATTGTGTTTGAAACAGCATGAAGGATTTATTATCTTTCCTGGGTAAATACGTATTGAATAATTTAAACTTAATATTCCAACAGCTTTTGCTCCATGGTATAGTTGTGTATGTCTTGTGGCAGATATGCCTCATTTCTCAACTTCATATAACTTCTTTTGAGCTAACATCTGCCCTCATGATAACATTACTGCAATAGCTCAGTACTAAGAAGCAGAAACATTACAGGACTGGGTGGGGGAGGAAGGGAACGGAAAATGACAGGAAGGAGAAGTGGAAAGTGGTGGGCAGAGAATTTGCCTGAGGTGGAACCTGTCAAAACCCTGTTACGTTTAATTAGACATACCTTTATTTAATTAGATATATACTTCATTAAATAGAAATACCTTTCTTTTGCTGTCAAGTGGTGGACAATTCATACTGTTACTTACTCTTTCTATACCCATTTTCCTGGAGAATTAGGATCTATCCTAGACAAGCTCTGTATATCTATCACCTTCTCTAAAATGATCTTTTTGATTTCCCAAATATTTTCAGTGCTAAGTATATTCTATAATCTATAGAAGTCTCAGAAGAAAATAAAAGAGAAGCTGTAATAGTCTAGGACTTCAAACATTCTAACATAACCCTAATTTGTCAAAGGGAAAACAGGATTAAACACATTATTACTACATGTGGCTTGATTTAAAATAGTTTTTATTTCCACTCCTTACATTTACCACTTTCCTTTAAACTAAGATCAAGTCAATTGAAAGACAGGTATTATTGTAACTGCAGTAGCTTCATTATTTATCAAGAACTAGAAAGGCATTAGTTGCAGCTCTGCCTGAAGGAGAAACCCTGTAGAAATGAGACAACAGAAACAACAATAATAACAACAACAACAACAACAAGCCTTATATTTTAAGAGACCAAGTGAGTTCAGTTGAGTTTTAAATCACCTTGAAAAATTGAGTTTTTTTTTATGGTATGTTCATTGTTTTAAAAAAAAATACCAAGTGCCAGTGATTCATGCCGATAATCCTAGCTACTCAGAAGGCTGAACTCTGAGGATTATAGTTCAAAGCCAGTTCAGGAAGAAAAGTCTCTATGAGACTCTCATCTCCAATTAACTACTCAAAAACTAGAAGTTGAGCTGTGGCTCCAAGTGGTAAAGTGAAAGTCTTGAGCAAAAAGAGCTTAGGACCAGCACCCAGGCCCTGAGTTCAAGCCCCACAACCAACAAAAAATAAACAAACAAACAAAAATAAACTTTGAGAACTGCTCTTAGAACCTGAAATTCTTTAAAGCATGTGGTATGGTAGATTTCATTTTTGAAGATGGCAAGAAAACCCTTGGTGCCAATGTTGATGAACACATGAAGTAATCTAATTAAGTTGCTAACAAAGTATAATTCTAGTCTAATAAAGCCTTTTGTGTGTGTTTTACCTACATGCTGAACATGCACATTCAGTAGGAACTTGGAAGAATTCCATCATCCTGCAATTAAGAATAGAGCTACACAAGGAAACCTTTTCAGATGCATGGTTGTTAGAATCCTTACAGTCCAAAGCCATATAGATTTAAAGGGAAGCCTTCACTGAGGGATAAAATTGTGTGTGCACTAATAGCATTTTTAGTAGTATTTTAAAGGAGTTTTTTTGGAAGAAAAATTCAGTAATTTGACATACATATCTTTTGAGGAAAAATGGAGTAAACCCTATAAAATAGTACATAAAGTTAATTTTTTAATTATGTTGCTGCTGCTTTCCCTTTTTTAAAAAAAATATTTCCATATCCCAATGGAAAGTTCCAGAACAAGATAAACTTAATTGTCCACACACAATTAAATCCCACTGAGTCAACACTTGTTGAGAAATTTTAATTGTATCTTAATTGTCTAATTTAATCTTTGCCTCTCAACCAAATTTTTGGTTGTGAGAACCAGATTGCTCAGGGCAAATTCCCTGTTTAAATTCTTTTATATCTTGCCAATTCCTAAATGTTATTGTTTATAAATAAGGGCATAATGTAAAAAGATTGATTAGATGCAATATGCTGATAAATATTGCAACATTTGTCCTCTAAGAGTATTCTCATCCTTGAAATGTATTTTAAACTTTTGAGGAATTAATTGATAGTAGGAATTTTGTCAATGCCTTTCAAATCCTTATGCTGATACTGGTGAGAACACATAGCATACCTTACAAGAATGGCAAGACCTATTAATCCAAATCCAGTTTTCTGGTTGGATATTTTACAAAAGAATAAAGTTTTTAAAAGTAAAACTTACCACATACCAGCAGTGGGCCCATGAAAATCCATTCTATTAACAACCAACCTGTACCTCAAGTCCACAATTAAATAACTATAGAGAAGACTAAAACATAATCTACTTGCTCTTTTTGATAAATTTTACCTTGGAACCTCTTACAGAGTAGAACTAGAACCATGACTATCATCTCATGAGAAAAATCTGGTCATAGATAAGCTAAAGATGGTTAAGGCTATTTCAAAAGGTGATAATTGACTCTGAAACGCAAACTGTCCTGACTGCCTCAGGGGACAGGTACATGTAAGACTGACTTCTTTTTTTTTTTTAATTTTATTTTATTTTATTTGTGAACATACTGTACAGAGGGGTTACAATTGCATGGGCAGGATAATACGTACATTTCTTACCAAGCATTGCAGCCTCCTCCTTTGTTTACCCTTCCCATCCCTTCCCAGCCTCCCCCCTCCCCCCCATCCCAATCCTTCTCCTTCCCCCCTCCCTCCCACCCCCTTCACCCCCCCAACCCCCCTCCCCCCGCACCGACGTTGTAAAGCTCGTTTTGGACATGACAACTTGTACTTCTCATTGTTGCCTCAGATCCACCTGTATCCTTAAACAACTGGTTTTTCCCCATCTCCTCCACAAGTTATACTGACATCAAATATAGTGAAAGCAGGGGAAGACTGACTTCTGATTGATGTCTTTTAGTTAAAACCACATGGCTTCCATGGCTTCTCACTTTCGCTCTCTCTCTCTCTCTCTCTCTCTCTCTCTCTCTCTCTCACTTTGTCTCTCTCTCTCTTTTTTTCCTTAATAACCAGGTCTGTACTGCAACCGCACTTGGGATGGCTGGATGTGTTGGGATGACACGCCTGCTGGAGCCATGTCCTATCAGTTCTGCCCAGATTACTTTCCAGACTTTGACCCAATGGGTAAAGTATTTTCATTTTATATCCCCAGAGTTTCTGTAAATGGAATATTGTTTCATTGTGCAAGTACTACAAGGTGTCCTTATTTTTACAGTCATATTATGGCTTCATTATGCATATGAAATTCTGGTTTATAAAATTAGTTTTTTGGGGATGGGAGGGGGTGAGGGAGGAGATGAGAAGGGATGGGGAAGGGGAAACAAAGGAGGAAGCAACAATGCTTGATAAGAAATGTACTCATTACCTTGCTCATGTAATTGTAACCCCTCAGGTATGGTATTTTCACAATAAAAAAAAAGAAACAATTGAGCCAATTGAAAGAACTCTCAGTAAAAAACAATAAAATAAAATTAGTTTTTCTAGGAGAGAGCAAGGGAAGGGGTGACATTGTTAAAAAATGTACTATTTATCTTACTTACGTAATTGTAACCCCTCTGTACATCACCTTTGGCAATAATAACAATAAAGAATGCATGAAGAAAAACAAGAATTGTAAAATACACATACACACAACTATGTTATATTCCATATACATATAGAAATAGATATTATATATACTACAAAAAATAAAAATGTTAGCCAGGTGCTGGTGGTTCATACCTGTAATTCTAGCTATTCAAAAAGCTGAGATCTGATTGCAGTTTGAAGCCAGCCCAGGGAAGGAAAGTCCATGAGGCTCTTCACTCCAATAAACTACTCAGAAAAAGCTGGAAGTAGCATTATGGCTTAAGTGGTAGAGTTAGCCTTGAGCACAGAGGCTCAGGAACAGTGCCCAGTTCCTGAGTTCAAGCCCCAGGACCAGCAAAAAAAATAAATAAATTAAATTAGCTTTTCCAAAATTCTGTGAATACATTTATTTATGAGTTACATTTTCATATCTTAATTATTTAAATATAATTACTTATGATAATAATTAATTATAATTTGAAATATACCACAGATACAATATATAAGTCCCTATAGTAGATTGAGGGGTTTTTTTAACCCCTCAAGAGTGAACTGAGCATTAACCACATATCCAGTAAAGGTTGTTAATTGGCTCTAGAATCCCAATGAGACTGGAAAAATGAGTTTGTCCCTGGTACAATGTTTGGAGGATATTTCCTTCAAAGATATCATTTGTTCCTAAAACCAAAATCCCACCCCGCAAAGGTAACGATGATTGAGGTGTAGTTGCAGACGGCCTCCTTTTAAACTAGTACACATCAGTTACTTCTGGGAATTCCTATTTTGATAGAAAAGTTTGGAGTGTAATAAAAAGGCTTTGTAGAGTGCCCTAACTCCTAGCTACATTCTTATAAACTCTAAATCTATCTAATGGTAATCCTTTAGGTCTTTAGTGACTCTTATCAATAAGTGATGCTTCATTAATCTTAATTTGACAGCTGCATTAGAGGTAACTTGATTGGCACAAAGATCTGTTTGGCCGTTGAGTCTACCTGGCCAGTTCCAAAGGAGCAGTGGACTAATGCCAAAATGGTGGTAAAATATTGACTCAAAGGTGAGGCTTTGATGAGCAAAATAGGCATTTCCAGATATAAGTGCATCATTTCAGACCAGTTTTTTTTAATGGAACCCTCGGTCTTATAAACATTCCATTTCACACATACAGACACACACACATACACACACACACACACACACACACACACACACCATTTTTAAAACATCTTTATTCAACAAATTTAAATGATTAAGGATTTTAATATTGCACTAAAACCTACATCTTCATGATATGCACAAACCATCTGGCCTTTTAAAGGTTTGAAAGGTTTCATTTTAGGGAAAATGCTTGGTAAAAGACAAACAGTGAAAGAATAAAGAACAATATTGAAATTCAAAAGAGATAACTCTGCAGGAATATGCCAGAGGGTAAAAAGCACCATGTAACAAGGAAGCATTTAGAACCTTGCTAGCATTAATATAAACCAACAGTAATGGCACAGAGCCAAGATGGACGAAAATGGTTTAGAACAGGAGTTCTCAATCTTGATGCCCTTTGGAAACATATATAGAGGGAGTGTTTATAAATTTTATATTATTATGTATATTCACACATAATACTACTAGGATTTGAGTCTCTAGGGATATAGCCCGAGAATCTGTAAATTAGAAGTGGCAACACCCACTTCTGAAGATAAAATGAGACAATGCATATTAAAATACATTTAATATCCATCCCATCCATGTAACCTCTGTTGACTGATGTTCTCATTCATGGTCTACTGATTAACATTTTGGAATGGCTTTAAAGTTTTCAATTATGTTTTGTCCTTCTTGAGATTTTTGACTTATTAAGGTCACAACTGTTACATTTCATTAACAGAAAAAGTTACGAAATACTGCGATGAAAAAGGGGTTTGGTTTAAGCATCCTGAAAACAATCGAACCTGGTCCAACTACACTTTGTGCAATGCTTTCACTCCTGAGAAACTGCAGGTTGGTTCTATTTCAGATCTCGGTACTGGATAACAAGGCTTTTGTACATGAGGATGGATAAATATCTGCTGTTAAAACAAATGGATGATGAGTTATAAATTCTAGAGTCTCTGCCATTAGAGGAAATAGTATGTCTCTTTTTGATTGCCACTCAGTGTTGCAGGGACTTCTGTGAGCAATGGAATCAAGCCATTGGACTATATAATGGGAATCCCTCTGAAGCCAGAAGTTGGATATTTTGAGACTCTCCCTAACATCTCTCTCATCCTGGAAGAGTGTGGTTTCCCCACACTCCTCAATTTCCCTCTCCTCAATTTCATTATCAACCATTGAGGAAATCCTTATTGAGGGCCTTCTCATTAGCCTGTTGATACACATATAGCAGTTGAGATTATTTTCAGAAGCAACCTATTCCTATTCTTATTTGCTAATACTTACGTCTTCTTAGCTACTAATGTTTTGAATAACATCTCAGCTTAGAAAAGATTATTTTGAGCCAATGTAGGGGAGAAACTGCACCAGAAATCCTCTTCACCCTGAAAGGAGATAATGTTGATGTTTATCTACATTGTACGGATGCTTATCTGAACTACTTTTCAGGTTGCAATCTGATTTGATAGTTCCCTCAAAGATCAACCTGAGTACTAATCAATTACTACATAAATTGCAAAAAAAAAAACCCAAAAGTGCTGCATGCATTTGTTTGCTGGTAAGAAGTTTGAAGAGTATATAATTTCTTTAGTAAAAACAAAATAATATATCCTATTCATATAAACTGCATAGAAAATGAAAGTGAACAAACTGGTTTTTAAATGGGAATTCCTTTGTACAACTAAAGATAGTAAAAATATAGTTTAAGAACACAATAATAGCAGCACAACTAAGATGAATAAATGGAATAGAGACCAGTTGACTAATAGGACATCTTGTGACAGGCTCAAGATAAAGGCAGCGAAGACAGTGACCTCTTTACAAATTAGTCAGCTCATCAAGCTCAGAGGCACCCTAATGGAAAGCTCTTTACTTAATAAAGTCGGATTGAAGTGACATGTCACCGAGTAAGGAATTTCCTTTGTGAATGCTGATTAGAATCTGATAGAAAAAAATTTAACTATGTTAACTGAATTGTTATAAATAATGCAAATTCAAATAAATGATAATCAAGGCTGCCATGTTTAACCATCTCACACACCCTGGCCACATCTGAGAAAGAAATAACTTTAAGAAATAGAAATGTTCCCTCAAAGCATCTAGTGTGAGATTAAAGTGTTTTCCACAAATCCTTCTCACAAAAATTTCCAAAAACAAATCAACCAAGATATTAATTTTTAATATCTTTACACAGTTACACAAAATATTTCAATAGGTCTACCAAAATATATAAAATCTTTCTCTTTGACCAATGGCTAGAAAAGAGAAAAACTTGACTTCTTCAATCAAATAATTACTGAGAATACTACTTTTTTTCAAAGGTATATTAATTGCTATGTAAGGTTGTGTCTATTTGCATCCTAGATTTAAAAAGGCATAAAAAACCTGCCACCTTAACTGTGCTTCCTCTCAGTATATTCTTAATATTCCCAATGCTGAGATTCAGAAGAATTTGGAAAATAGAATCTATTCTACACATTATTTATAACACTTCAGTATCAGATAGAGCCCAGTCTATAATAGGACCCTAGAACTGCCTGCATTACTTATTGGGCATAGCAGGTAACAAGTTTTATTATATTTATAACTATTTCTGTAGTATATTTTAAACAAGGTTTTCTTCATCTCAAGGAACTTTATTCTTAAAAAGTAAATTGATTTATTTCTGGAAAATAATATGAATAAACAAAAAATTCATCCTCTAAAGTATTTTTGTAATTAGTAGATACTTTAAAGAAGGAAAACCTTTGTTGATTTGCACTAGTCTCTAGACATCAAACTATTTCCTCTTTTTCCAGTCATTCATTCATCTATTTTTTTTTCTTTTAACATTTCTCTTCCAGAATGCATATGTTCTGTATTACCTGGCTTTGGTAGGTCACTCTATGTCAATCTTCACATTGGTAATTTCCCTGGGGATTTTTATGCTTTTCAGGTAAGCACATTTACAGCATCTGATTATTTATTTATTTACTTCTGTACTTATTTGTCTGTCTGTCTAAGGGCTTTGAAACCAGGGCTTGGATGCTGTCACTGAGCTTTTTTGTTCCGAGAAAACATTCTACCACTTTGATTGACAGCTCCACTTTCAGTTTTCTGGTTGTTACTTGGAGCTAAGGGTCTCATGGACTTTCTTACCTGGGCTGGCTCAGTCTCAGATCCCAGCCTCTTGAGTAGCTAGGATTACAGGCATGAGCCGCCAGCACCTGGCTCTGATTTTTATTTTCTGTCGTAAGTCACTTAGGTAAATGGCATATTCTGCAAGTGTGTGATGTGTGGCAAGGCTCTTTCACAAATCCTAAGAGATACAAACAATTAAGAGTGATAAAGTAGCAAGAAAATGAAATAAGTTAAAATATGCCTTACTTTGCGGCAGTCAGGATGAAGCCACAATTATTGTCAATAGCAATATACCTCCTTTCCAAAATAAGACAATCATGTGATCTAAAAATACATGGTGGTAATGTGGTAAAGGCTCTGCTTGCCATGGTTAAGGTTCCATCAAGTATTGAAGAGAGGATCCTCCACCTTCTCTTATCCCCACTTCAATATCTGAAGGCCATGGCCACTAATTCAAATTCATCCTACCTTTCTAAGCCAGGAGATTAGTTAATCCATGGCAGTGGTTAGCCAGGAAAGAAAAGAATAGTGTAGAATAATATAATCTTAATTTGATATTTATTAAAATACCATCTTGAATGCCACACTTAGTGGCTCATGCATATAATCTCAGCTACTTGAGATAAGAGGATCACAATTTGAGTCTAGCTTGGGCAAAACTTAACAAAATCTTATTTCAAATAGAAAGAATGCAATGTGGTTCATGTCTATTAATTACAGCTATGTAAGAGAAAGAGTGTATCATGCTCCCACACCTGCCCTGGGAAAAAGTAGAAGATCCTATCTGAAAAAAATAACTAAAGCAAAAATGACTGGAGACATGGCTCAAATGTTAGAGTCTTTGGATTAGTCAGCATAACACCCTGAGTTCAATCCTCAATGAATGAATGAATAGGCAAACTTTAATAGTGCTAAATAAAATTAAACCAGGAGATGGATAGTCACTTATTGACACAGCTTGAGCACAACTCTTAATTTTTATTTTTGCCTGTCCTAGGACTTGAACTCAAGGTCTGGATGGTGTTCTTGAGCTTATTGGCTCTACCACTTGAGTCACAGCCACTTCCAGGAGGTTTCTTGGGGTGATTAATTGAAGATGAGAGTCTCATAGACTTTCCTTCCTGGGCTGGCTTTGAACTGTGATCGTCAGATCTCAGCCTCCTGAGTAGCTAGGGTTACAAGCATGAGCCACCAGAGCCTGGATACAACAACTATTTTTATCTCAATTATTTAAAATCTTTGTCTACATCATTTTCAAGATTCTTGTAGCAATGTAATTATATAGTAATTTTTAACTGAATAGTGAATAATAACGTAAGCAAACAGTCAATATCTGTTTCCATAAGTGCTTTAACAGAAGAAACCCTGAGAAAGAGCAAGACATGATGAATTAATCACTAGAAGTGGAAGAGCATTTTCAATTATACTGATCAGAACATGGCAGAGTAATCACATAACATGATTCATTTTGTGATGTCTCATTTTCTCAATTGTTCTTCATTATGGTGAATAAATACACCATCATGACTCTCACAGCTTTGATTTAAGAGTCTGCTGCTAAGAGTTTTCTTTTTAAGTTGTTTATATAATATATAGTATATATTTGTATATATAGTATACCTACTATACACATATATAACCATAAGAAAAGTAAAAGAAAGTCCTCCATATTTGTAATCATACAAGTTATAGGTATAGTCAGGACTTCAAAGGTAAACATTACAAGAGCATTGGCAAAGAAAAGAAGGTCCTTTTACCCATGTTTTCTGTATCAAGTCACTGAAAATGGATAAAGGTATACCATATAGGCCAAGTAAAATAACTTTCAACTCAAGTTAGACCCAAAACAAAAGTGATTCTGGTAAAGCTAGAGGGAGTGTCATGGTGACTGTCAGCACTGAGTTTGAACTAGTATCTCTCAATTTCAAGGATATACCAAGACAGCAACTTAAGCCCCAGATGTTGGAGGAAGAGACACGTCTTATTGATTTATCATCTGTATCTAATCATGAGAAGCTGGTACAGCAAGGCCACCACTGGCTCAAGATGTGAATGAAATACACAGGTCACAGTGGTTCACTTAACAAAAGATGCTATTCATAAATTGTATACTTCCTCTTAATCATTTTATTTAAAAATGTGAAAAGTCTCTTTTCTTAACATTAAATTACATTGCTGACTCTTCAACTTTTTCGTATATGTGTATATATATATATTAAAAATGATTCTGAAAATAGAAAGAAATTGCAGGCTATCCTTAAATTTTACCTCTTAGTCAAACTTGTCTAAAATTTTTTTTCAGTCAACATCACTTTTAATATCTTTGCTGCATTTCACAGTAAAATGTTTTTTATCATTTGTGCACTTAAATGGCATCATTTATGTGAAACTTGAGCCAAAAAAAGTCCATCTATTGCTTAACTCTGTATTTTCAGGGTTATTTTTGCAATATACAAATAGTCAGTTTCATAAAAGTTTCATGAACTCAAAATGAGATGTTAGCTTGCTCCACTTGAGAGCTTCTGCCTCATTCATAATTATGCCATTGAAATCTCACTCTGAAGCCTGCAGAGCTCTCCACATGTGCCTCACAGGGTCAATTAGAAGGAGCAACCCTTCAGACACCCGCAAGCCATTTGACTAAGCAGACACAGAGGAATTTGACGTTACTGAATACACAAGATGCTATAGAATACCCAGTAATTCACTAAAAATCTGAAATATGTGTTAAAGTGAAATCATTACAGATTACCCCCAATTTAAATGTGCTTATACTTTGGCAAGACTAGGTAACCCTAACACAAGTAAGAATTGTGCTCCCTGTATCACTGGATAATTGATGTAGAAGTAATATATAAAATCTTTGTTATTTTAAATTTAAAAATTGACTTGGGGGAGTGATATTGATCAAAATGCTATTGTATTCATAAATTGTTAAATGGCAACTTGTACATACAACTAACAAGATAATAAAACAAAAATTGAATTTCTATACCTTCTGCAACTTGAGCAAAATAGGTGTATAATTTAAATAATAGCAAAGTCAGTACTAATGACCTAAGCTATTCTTTCTGCCATCTCCTGCCTGATGTTTTTTCACACAACTCTTATCAAGCTCAGTAGACTTTCCATATGAAGCACACTGCAAAACCTAACAGTGTCTCCTCGAAGAACCCTTCCCTTAATTAATTCTACATTTGTATAACTTAAAGGGATTTTAGCACCTACTTTCACTTTTTTATGAAGCTATCTTGAACACTGAATTCTATACACCTCTATGACTGAAAAAAAAAAAGGTTTTTATTGTTCTGTTTAAAAGTCAGGCCGGGCACTGGTGGCTCACTCTTGGAATCCTGGCTACTGAAGAGGATGAGATCTGAGGACTGAAGTTCAAAGCCAGCATGGGCAGGAAAATGTGTGAGACTCTTACCTCCATAACCACCAGGAAACCAGAAGTGGTGCTGTGGCTCAAAATGGTAGAGCACTAACCTTGAGCAAAAAGAACTCAGGAGCACAGGCCCTGAGTTCAAGCCTCACAACCAACAAAAAATAAATAAATTAGATGATAGACGACAGACAGACAGATAGGCAGAGAGATGACTCAAGAAGAAATGTAGTAAGTCTTAAAGATGAGACCCATGTTACATCTTGCATGTGGATGTATATGTATATTTTCTTTATCTGTTGCTAAGGAAAACACGAAAAATACCACTAAATAATTTCTTCCTAGAAATGCCAACATTGTGGTGTCATGTAATGTTTTATGTTACTTTGTCTTCCAGGAGCCTTGCATGCCAGAGGGTTACACTGCACAAGAACATGTTTCTTACCTACATTCTGAATTCGATAATTATCATCATCCACCTGGTTGAAGTCGTACCCAATGGAGAGCTGGTGCGAAGGGATCCGGTTAGCTCGCATGATTTTGTGTTTAATTTTATTTTTGAGAGCATCATACTTCAGTACATATTTCCTTTTTATTTACACATACTATTTGTACAAAGGGGTTTCACTATGACATTTCCATATATATATTGATCACATTTGCATGTCCCCTCTCTATTTCTCTCTTATCCCTACTCCATCTCAATAACTTTAATAGGCTATTTTCTTAAATCTATACAATGTCCTTCAATCATATTTATCGTCCCAAATATCTTTATCTCAAAAAATCCACACATATTTTCTTTCCATCTCTTTAATAAGTCTACCTTTCTTATTCTTAATAACAAATCATTTTTCTATATAACTGGCCTGTACTTCAATTGGTTGATTCAAAAACAGTTTAAGTATATAACTATTTATGATATTTCATAAGAAATGACCAACATTTGATCAATTTTTGTTCTGAAACATCAACAAATCTATATTTTCTTTTTTTTTTTTTTGGTCCAGTCGTGGGGCCTGAACTCTGGGCCTGGGTGCTGTCCCTCAGCTCTTCAGCTCAAGGCTAGTGCTCTACCACTTGAGCCACAGTGCCACTTCCAGCTTTTTTCTTTTTGCTTATGTGGTGCTGAGGAATCGAACCCAGAGCCTCAGGCATGCAAGGCAAGCGCTCTACCACTGAGCCACCTTCCCAGCCCCCCAAATCTATATTTTTCATCCTAATGCAAATGCACGAACAATCCACTCATGAGTGCCTCCACTGTAGGCCTGAAGAGACAAGAGGAGGGAAAGATGAAGGAACCCAAAGACAGAGAAGTGGTATGGGGTAGGCTGACATTCAGAAACTCAGGACTGCTGTCTCCAGATGCAACCAACCTGTGGTAACCCCATGGAATAGATCGGGAATAAATACCCTTCCTTTGCTTACTTTCAGCTCTCCATTAGCTGAGCTCACCCAGAAACTAGAGGGCAAAGAAGCCCCTGATGGAGACATACACATGTATTCCTCTGGGCCCAGGGTGGTGAGAAACAGGATGGAGAAGGCGTCTGGTGGCACAAACAGAAGCTGCTAGCACATGGGGAATGCCAGGGGATATTTTCATTTTCATTTCTCTGCTTAAATGCAAACATCTGTAGCTAGCCTCATCTTTCAAAACTGACATTTGACAGTTCTGCCAACCCAGTGACAAAAATGTATGAAATCTGCCCAGAGCATGCATCCTGCTTGACAGTGGCATAGCATGGGAAAGCAGCTTAATTAGGCTTCTAATGAATCCAGAGTGTTAATCATTTTTTGTAGTATGAATATATTCAGAAAGGCATTAGGATCCATCTTTTTAAACCATGGCATCTGCTACTGGAGACAAAGTCCTGTTTTAGCTGAAAAAAAATGTGACCAAATGGATTTACCTTGATGAGTTTTCTTTTTTAGTGCCATCAAATTTAAATAAAAATGCATCTCACTTAATTTAATCCTCACAAAACCCCACTTGGAAATAGGTATTATCACATTATGAAGCTGGAAAGTAGTCTTAGTGAAGGCAAGATTTCCCCCCACTGAATATATAGATACAGAGCTCAAACACAGACCTATCTCATACAAGTCATCTCTCTTTTCTATAGTACATGGTATTCTTGACTTTATTTATTTCCTTGGGTATATATATATATATATATATATATATATATATATATATAAATTATTAGTATTTAATATGATAAACATATTATAATAAGCATTAAATATATAATAAATATATAAACATATATGTCCTTCAAGAAATGGGCTCGGCCATTACAAAGCAGTGATTGTCCATAATTGGACATACAAGTACCGTTTTGATGAATCTGAGCTGTCCATTCAGATTAAAAGAGACAGAAGCAGTTCACTAGGCATCTCCCAAAATAGAATAGTCACAATTTCTGACTTTTCATTTCCCATGGAGGGAGAGTGGAAACGCTGAGAAAGCTGAGGTAGGAAATAAGCTAGCGAATGACACTTCTGTTATGGAATAACCAACCATGTCAACATGAGAGCTATATTCAAATTACAAATTAAATTTTTTCACAATTAAACTTTTCCTCTCTGTCTTTTGGGAGTCTCATCCCTTTATGTCATGTTTCCAGCCTCTCCTCAAATGTAACTGGAAATGGGCATTTTTCCCTATTGTGAGATTGTGCTAATCTTTATCTTCATGAAATAATTACGAAGTCTGGCTCTTTTTTCTGAGTTCACTACTAAATTACAGAAACTGCTTCACCTCATCTGGCCATCGGAGTAACAAAACAGTCATTAGGCTGACGTGAATGGCTATTATTTGAAGAAAATAACTATTTTAATTTTTTATTATTTCTAAGTAGTCTGTCTTTGGTCATACCACCCTGAATACTCTCAATCTCATCTGAAAATATCTATTCATCACATCTCCTCCATCATCTTTCAGAATGAGCTGAGCCTCCCATAAAACTTTCCTTGTCTCACAACCATAAATGTGGGATTCATTCATGTTTTAATCTATTTTGAATTGTGATTTTTTTTCATGAAAAAGGAAAAAATAATTGGATTTTTTTTCTCCCTCTGTATATCTAAAAACAAAACCTCCTTTCCTCCCAGGCTCTATACAATGAGAATGGGCCTTCACTAGCAACCCACTTCTGTCTAAATGGAGCCACATCACAGTGTCAGAACCCACTGTGTGTGCTCTCACAGGCCCAATTGTCTGTTTTCTCCATAAGACAAAACATGGGAGCACGTGTCTGTCACACAGCACATGTAAGTAGTATAGGCCAAAACTCAGTGCAGTGAAAAAAAGCGAATTCATTCTTGTGAACTGTGAAGCATATAAAAACTAGGACATTTGTCTTTTAGTACTTTCTCTGAACCCATTTTTCAATGATAGTTTTATTAAATGGCTTAACTTTCTATATTTAAAAGTAAACATGTGAGTTGTCTCTCTAGGAAAGCAAAATTAGTTCAAGAAAAGCAACAATGAGCTCTCAAGTAGACATGTTTTATACATTGCTCATCCTTGAAATTGTTTACTGTCTCTAAGAGATACACAATGAAAATTTTGTATTCTTACTGTGAAAATGGATCGTTCATAAATGCATTCATAGAAGCCCAATTTCTTAACTATCTTTTTCCCAGTCAAGTGTTACTTAAGTGGATTGCAGTTGGAACAATAATAGGTATCAAGAAAGAAGACGTTTTCTTTATTGTCGTATATTTGAATATATTGGGAATGAACAAGAACTCAGGTTTAACTGCTCGTCTCAAGCTCTGTCTTTCTTAGGAGTACTTTTCTTCTTTTAAAGAGACAGACATAACAGTATCCAAAAGTTGAGATTCGTGTGATCAGCATTGTTAAATCATATGCAGAATTATGTACTTAAGGTTACTTCAAATGAATAATTTGAAACATTGCTTTCAAATAATTCTGGAAGGCATATATAGAAGCACTCAGTCTATTTTTGATGATTCAAGTATATGGCTTTTTGAAAAGAAAAATAGAATTACTAATTTTAAAGACATTTTTCCCTCTTAAGAAAACTAAAGGCAAAGATGTAGGGTTTTATTTTGTTTGTTTTTAATTTTTTAATTTAATTTTATTGTCTAGGTGATGTACATATGTAAAGCAATGAGTATTGTTTTTAAATTTTGACCCAATCACTGAATCAGTAAAGAAGACACACAAAGATTGTCTATACAACACTAAATGGAATAATTTTCAGAAAGTTATGTTTTGGAGAGATGCTGAGTAATCCAAAATATTAGTACACTACTCTTAGAAGGTTTAATTTTACTGTGGAGAGAGAGACAGAGACAGAGAGAAAATGGAGTGTTCTTGCTCAGTGATGAATCTCTGGATTTGTAGTCACGTCACCAAAGTAGTTTCTTCCCTCAGAAATGTTTGATTATGCATGTTCTCTTATAGGAATTATATTCTTTCACATTTTTCTATTTTGTTCTTTTTGTAAGTTAAATTCAAAATAACTCATGGGAGCCGGGCGCCAGTGGCTCACGCCTGTAATCAATCCTAGCTACACAGGAGTGAGAGATCTGAAGATAGTGGTTCAAAGCCAGCCAGGGCAGGAAAGTCTGTGAGACTTATCTCCAATAAACCACTAGAAAACTGAAGTGGCGCTGTGGCTCAAGTGGTAGAGTGCTCACCTTGAGCTGAAGAGCGCAAGGACAGTGCCCAGGCCCAGAGTTCAAGCCCCATGACCAACAACAACAACAAAAAGGGCATAAATAAGGATTAAACAGATCTCAGCTTATTGAGTGATGTGAAAATTTCCTCTTGTCATTGTGTCATTTGAATACTTCATTTCCATTAATATCTACAATTCCATTTCTTATTTTATCTGTTCATTTGATTATCTCCATGTATAGCTGAGAGGCAGAATTAAAAGCATTTTTCTTTCGTCATCTAAAGGAAGCTGGCAAAATATTTCTCATTTTTTACAAGGAAATATCTCTTAAATTTTAACTTTCCAAGCATATATATCTCCAGTAACTAAAGAGACAAGAGAAATACTCACTGAAGTCTCTTTATTTTAATCCAATACTGTCATAAAAAAATTTAAAGCAAATAATAATGAGGCACTTGTATTGCTGTGCATTGGTCTGTATTGCATCCCCAGATGCAAAAGTTTGAAGAAGAATGCTTGGCAGAGCTCATTAATGTGTTCAACTTTGGTTGAATATGCTCATCTTCTCTTCTTTTGTTTGTCCATAAATTAAGTAGTTTATTTAATGTTAAGAGCATAGCCCCTACTAGTTAGGTTCAGTTGTTTTTCCTCTGACTTAAGTGTTAGGTTTTGCTATTTACCGTAAAGTTGGCTAGACATTTTTCCTTCTGTAGAAGCCATGCATGGTGACACTTTCTTGTTTCTGTATCTGTCTCCCCATCAAAAGATCCTTATGTCTGCATTGTATTTTATCTTTGCAGTAATTAAGTATATCCTAGGATTAAACACCATAAACAAGTAAATTTTCCATATGAAATTTAGGCTCCAATGTGAAATCTTAAGTAATGAAGTATGCTACTTGAAAGGCATCCTTTCTAGTATGCTACTTTGAAGGATGATGGTCCAGAGCCATCCAGGTGATATCTCCATCTCAACCAAGCTAGGAGTAATATGTGTGTCTGTAGACCAGTTGTGTTAGAGTTATAACTAAGAGGGTCACAGGAAAAATCATGAGATCCTATCTGAAAGATAACTGAGCCACAAAAGGGGGCCATAGGTGTGATTCAAATGGTAGAGAACCATGGCAAGGTCCTAGGTTCAAACCCAAGGGCTGCCAAGTACCCAGGATCTAACAGAGAAAGAACACTTTTGTGGGCTTGGCTTCTATTGGCATAAATCTGTAGACAACCACTGATTTGTGGGTGCAGAGGGTGCCAATGTTGACAGAGTCTTAGAGAAACTGCTAAATGAAGATACTTTGTCTCCTGTTTATATTTATCCTTGGGTCACTAATGGACCTCTATTGATGTCTTCATTCTTTCCGATAGGTGACCTGCAAGATTTTGCACTTCTTCCACCAGTATATGATGGCCTGCAACTACTTCTGGATGCTGTGTGAAGGGATCTATCTCCATACTCTCATTGTGGTGGCTGTGTTCGCTAACAGTCAGCGCATGCTCTGGTATTACCTCCTTGGCTGGGGTACGTATTTCTTCCAACTGAGTTTGGAGCCCTCTTCATTTGTGTTTACGTATTTATATTGTCTTGTAGTCTTGGTCTCACAGAACAGAGTGGACGAGTGTCTTGAGGACATAAACTAAGTCATGGATGGATGGAAAGCATGTCCTGATGGAGCAGAGTGCTGACTAGACCCCCTGTTACTTTATCACATATTTGCAGAGCGCTTCCTCAGTCTCTTTCTGTCCGTCATCAACAGGACTCCTCCAGTGAAAAATCAGAGAACGGAGTCCAACTGAGAAGCAAGCAGAATCACAAAGGTCTTCAAGTAGCTTGGGCCCAACATCATAGTATAGACTATGACTGTCAAAAGCATAACATCAGTTAGGTCTGTCCTAACTAAAGTACAGTAAATGTCTTTCAGAACTCTCTAGAATTTCTCCCCTCCTCCAAGGATCTGAAAAATCCATTCCCTTTGGAGGAAAGATGAGACAGTAAGAAGGAAACATAATTAGGACAGAAACACACACTACTTTATGCCCCCCTCCCCCAAAAAAGTTATTCGCTCCTAAATTACATCCCAGAAGGAGAATCTCATGGGCCTCCGTCACTGATCATAGAGCTGAAGGCTTTCCTTACAAACTGCTCTGATAGAGTGGCTGTAGATCTCAGAGCAGAGGCTACAAATGACCTTCAGCTTGGTCTACCCATTTCTTTTTGAACAGTGTCACCTCTTCCCTCATTTTCTCTCAGTTTTTTTTTTCCTCCTGATGCCCTTCCCCCACAAGTTGTATAGTTCACCTTCAACATAGTGTCTAGTGAGTATCACTGCTGCATTAGTTCACCCTTTGTTCCCCCTTACCCTCGACAAAACAGATAAACTTATATACGAGACCAAAAGTACAGAATCAAAAACAGGGACAAAGGGAAAAGGAAAAAAACAAAACCTAAACAAAAAGTAAAATAACTAAAAAAACCTCTTCTTTCCATTTCTTGGACTTCCTTTCAATAAATATCATTTTATATGATCATATGCACATAGCTATTAAACCTTTGTGATCCTATCCTAAGAATATCCTCCTTTGATCTCACTGTGTGAATATTTACAGTCCTGTTTAATTTGTCATGTTCAAGTGTAATTTTGTCTTTTACCCTCATTGTGTTAATTTGAAGACTTATAGGCACATTCTAATTACTAAAACCATGCAACCTATGTTTTTTTGGGACTAGCTTATTTCACTTAATATAATTTTTTTCCAAGTCTTTCCATTTCCTTACAAACAGATACAGTGAGGAAGGAATATTTGGTTAAGAAGGAAAAGGATGCAGGGCTTTTTAAAAAAATCATATATTTCATTGAAAATCTAAACAACAAGCACTGTTACCAACTTTACAGAAATGTGCCTTGGGAAGTCTATACAATAGACATTTTCATGATCTGTATATCTGTGCTGCCCCTATGTAAGACTGTCTTTTTCTGTTATGCCCATTTTAATCAAAGATATTGCTAAAACCCAGTAGGCTATAATAGTGGAGCAGAGCTACAGGTGTGTGAAAGGCTTCATAATTGAAATGATGACGCTACCACATTTTAGTTGCCAGTAACAGAATCTGAAAAATGACATTTACCTCAGACTCAACACACACACACACACACACACACACAAACCTTCTGTCAAATCTAGTTTATTACCACTAAGAAAAAATTTATAACCTATTTCTTAAACCGTTTTTGACTATTCAAAATCATCTATCTGCCACACTCAGAAAATCTTCCATTGGGAAAAGTCCTTTCATGGACTTTAACATTGAATAAACAGCATTATTTTCCCTTTTATAAGAACCTTGTTTTTCTTGTCATTATCTTTGGGGGCTGGGATAGGTTGTTACAGATCTCAGGATCTGGAGAAAGAAAGCAAGAAGGAAGAAAAAACAAAACATAGGCAAAGAACTCCAGGAGTTAGATGTGGGGGTCTGTGCCCTCCTCTATATTCACTAGAGAGCATACATTACCTCTCTACAGAATGAGCAGGTAGGATTCAGATTTCCATATGCCTCTTTTGCTAATTCTGAAATGTGTGGTTCAGAATAAATCCAGGGTGAGTTTTTGCTCCGATGAAGAAATTGCATATTAGAACTGCTGTGAATAACACAAACCTTTTGAGTAAATAGTTCAACTAAAATTATTTCAGGTCAAACATTTAATAGTCCTATAGCATCATATCTTTCATAGGTTTCAAAAGTGAGGCTTTATGCATATAGATCACAGAAGGTAAAAGTCGATAGGCTTAATTCTCACCTGAGACACATTTTTTTAAATCTGATGATAATAAAAAAAATACCTCTCCAGGTGTTTCAATCAAACCAAAAAGTATCTTACTGTAACTAGATACATATGAGTTCCCCCAAAAAGATGCTTTTAAGGAAGATTCCAACTTTATATTTACAGAATAAAATTTATTTTAAAAAGGTGATTTGGCAAAATGTTGTCAGAATGACCTCTGTTGTTCCACTGGTCAATTCAACGATGGTTTCACTAGTACTCTGTGTTTAGCTGGGAAAATGAATACAACACTACTTCCAAGAATGATCTGCAGACAGAAAACAGAGTAGAAAATACACTTGCTTCCTTAAAGTATATGTGTAAAACTATACAGGATTAATGCCCATGCTATAAGCATACAGAAAAATGAAATATATAGAAGGAAGGTATAAGATTAATGATATCACCATAGTTTCAGGGTGTCCCAATGTCTCTCCATAAGAGTCTAGTTTGCTCCCAATGAAGAAATTTCTGGTTTCAGTTAATAGTCTTCATGAAAATCGAGATCATAAACATAACAATGGTAATGACGTCATAAAGGAAGTTATCATGTAACTACTACAGTAGGTAACTAGTGATAGGCTCTTAATTATCTGAATACTCTTAACCAAATTCTCTGAAGTATCTAGTTGTCTAACCAAAGTTCTGGCTTGACTAAAGTCAACTTTTACATAGACCTCATAGAAGATAACTTGCCACAGTTTTGGGCAAGGATGCTAGCTTATTCCAAGCAAGGATAACTAGAAGTTATGACCTAATCCCCAAGTGTAATTTGTATGTTTCTCTTTTTTAGGATTTCCACTGGTGCCTACCATTATCCATGCCATTACTAGAGCTCTGTACTTCAATGACAAGTAAGTACTATGATCATTTTATTCATTTTATTCATAAATGAAATGCATTTGTATTGAGTGTCACCTCCGTCGTTTTCAGCTGCTGGCTGAGTGTGGATACCCATCTGCTGTACATCATCCATGGCCCTGTCATGGCAGCATTGGTGGTAAGAACTGGTGTTTCAGTCCTTTAGTAACAATATTATTTCTTTGTTGGGAATGTTGTAAATATACTGTATATATGTAGTACATATGTGAAAACTTCAGAGTGAAACCAATTTGATAATACTCTAGAATAAGAAAATCCATATTTTTCAACAAGTATCTTTTGCTTTCTTTATGGAGGGAGAGGTTACATCAGTTTATTTGCATACACACCATGACAACAGTTTCATATTATGAAACTTTTCTACAGCTAGACTCTCCTAGGTAAATGTGAAAAACACTTTCTTTATTGCTGAAAAAGAAAGTGAAATGCCATTGTGTATATTAACTCCTGTCTATACTATACGAAGCAAAAATATTTTTACTTCATAATTGATACATGAGCCATTGCCATAACAACTACTGATCACACACATAAAGTATTTCAGGCATTACATAAATATTGTCATACTGTTTCTAACAGCTACCCTCTAAAGTAGATACATGGAAACGAACCCAAAATAGAGTAATCCCACTCAAAATTGTATGAATAATAGATGACCATTAGGTAAATACCTTCATGAGCTTGAGGTACGAAAAGATTTCTAAAGCAGTCTACAAAGAACACTTAAGAAAGTGGTTCATAAATTGCCTATAGGAAAATTATGACTGTTTAGAGTGAAGAGGATTTTCAATATTCCTAGAAAAACAATAAATTTATTTAAAAAGGGTTCAACCTCCTTAGCCATCAAAGCAATGCAGATTAAATAGCAATGAGTTGACACCACACCCCAACCAGCATAGATAACACTAAAAGTGATGGCCAAGGATTAGCAATGGTGCAGAGCAACTGTAACTTCTGTGTACTACTGGAGGGAATATGAAATAGAGCTATCTTGCCAGTCCTTACCAAGATAAACCTGCTTTTACTGTAGAATTGGCGAGTCTGTGCCTAGGTATTTAGACTACACTAGATGGAGACAGGGTCATAGTGCACCTTATATCCTCTTTGGAGTGGTTGCTATACAGAGAGATGTATTTGTAAACTAAACTTCTCAAATTTATGATTGAAATCTGCATTTCATTTCATGAAAATTATATTTCAATGAAGTTACTTTTAAAAATATTATTTATAAGAAAGCTGGGCTAGCTGCTGTTTCTACTACATAGGAATTTTCAAAATAAAATTCTCAGTCCTTATTTCACTTCAGGTAAATAGTCCTGGCTAAGGGCAAGTCTTAATAACAAAAACACAAACTGGCACCAGCTGGCAAGTGTTGTTATAACTCTCCTTCACAAAAATTATAAATATCTAAATAAAGAATAAATTAGAGTTGAACCTACTCTAGTTACATGTAGAGGAAACAGTTTCCCTTTTAGGAAAAGAAGGGAAACATTGAAACCAAACCTGAAAAGGGTCTTCAATTATACGGAAGCCTCCAGATCCTGTCTGATGCTTCCCATCAATCTTTTACATTGTGTATGGGTGACATCTACTCTCCTGTTTGTCAAACAGGCATCAAAGACCATAGGTATCCTTAATTACCACTTGTCAAAATAATTTGCTCATAATGTCATATTGTTACAGGTCAATTTCTTCTTTCTGCTGAACATTGTCCGGGTGCTTGTGACCAAGATGAGGCAAACCCATGAGGCAGAGTCTTACATGTACCTGAAGGCTGTGAAGGCCACCATGATCCTGGTGCCCCTGCTGGGAATCCAGTTCGTTGTCTTTCCCTGGAGGCCCTCCAACAAGCTGCTTGGGAAGATATATGATTACCTCATGCACTCTCTGATTCATTTCCAGGTAAGGAAGTTGACCTATCTAATTCTAAAGCCTGTGATCTTTTTTTTTAATTGTAAAGATACTGTACAGAGGGATTACAGTTACATGAGTAAGGTAATGAGTACATTTCCTATGGAGCATTGTTACCCCCTCCTTTATTTTCCCCTACTATCCCTTCCCTCCCACCTCCACAACTCCCCCCACCCAAGTTGTAAAGTTCATTTTCAACATAGTGTCTTGTACATCTCATTGTTACAATGGGTCAACCTGTATCCTTGTTTCAGCATTTTGTTATTTCCCTTCCCCTCTCCAAATTAGAAAATTTTATGTACAAGATGCAGGGCACCAGAATCAAATACAGTAACAACAGGGGTTATACCATGGGGGAAGAACATACAAAAGAAATTTTAAAAATCACATAGTACATTAAAAACAACAGCAACAAAATATACCTCTTGTGTCCCTATCTTGGAGTTCATTTTGCTTAGCATCATCTTTTATGGTCATATGTACATAGCTTTGACCTTTTCTGCTTGTCTGGTAAAATTATCTTAGATGTTTACTAGTTATTGCAAATAAGAGAAGCCATGGGACCTATGTTTCTTTGGACCTGGCTTACTTCACTTAATATAATTTTTTCCAAGTCTTTTCATTTCCTAACAAATTGGCAGTGTCATTCTTTCTGATGGAGGCATAGAATTCCATTGTGTGTGTGTGTGTGTGTGTGTACACACACACACACACACACACACATATATATTTATATATATATATATATATATTTATATATATACCACATTTTCTTCATTCATTTACTGAGGGGCATCTGGGTTGGTTCCATATCTTAGCTATGGTGAATAATGCTGCCATAAACATAGTTGTGCTGGTAGCTTTAGTATGGCCTTGTTTGTGATCATTTGGTTAGATGTGTAGAAGTAGGATTTAAAGCCTGTGATCTTAAATGTCATGACACAGTCTTCAACCCGACAGACCCAACCAAAATTCTGAAGGAAATTGGGTTCTTCAAGTCACTTACTTGTGCTGTTCCTTTATCTCAGGACCCTCATTGACTCCACCCAGGCAGAGATACCACATCAAAAGAATGGTCAGATCTTCCTGTCATAAATTATTGTGACTCTGGAGTAACAAGAAGCAATGCATTTGCACAGAACTTCCCATACTTCCTGCTCTGTCCTCCATCTGTCAGACAAATGTCAGGATCTACAACAGCTCAGTGAATATAAAGATTAGTTGTGCCTGAATCTCTCCCCATATAGGAGAGAATTGTTTCAGGGGCTGTCCTGAGCTGCGCAGACTCCATCACATTGGAGAAGAGGATGTCTGCCCTTGTCCGTTCACCTGAAAGCTTTGTCCGAGATCAGATCTCACAGCTAGGATTTTTGAGAGCAGGGTAGGATCTGAGGGGAAAAATTAAATTTCACTTATTTTACTGCCAAAATTATTAATTTGAGGAGGATATCAGCATTAATTGGGCTTAAAAGAAAGTTTAAGTGTTGTTTAAGCTGTTATTTCGGTCATAATTAAAATTTGGGCACAAAGAATCTTTAAAACAGTAGCTAGGACCTCAGAAGTTAACTGTACATATCCTTGTTGCTTATTTAAAAGATGAACATAGAGGTAGCAAAGGTACCAGTCTAATTCACTCTGACAAAACAGAACACAGGCCCACAGTTATACACTATGACATGTGTGCTTTTAAAAGATTCACTGGATGCTATAAGATATATTAACCAAATTTACTAGAATTGTCCTGGTTTCTGAACATCGGCATTCCAACAAGAAAATACATTTCTAATTGAATAATTTTGAAGTGTAGCACTGAATAGAAGGTATAATTCTCATGCCGTATGTGCTATTGCAGTCATGAAATGATTCCAGGCAAGCTTGATAATCAATTGTGAAGCAACACACACACAAAAACAACTTCAATTCTATTTTTCCTTTTCTTTTTAGGGATTCTTTGTCGCGACTATCTACTGCTTCTGCAACAACGAGGTAGGCAATACTATCACCATTTATAAAGGAAGGTATTTTATAGTTAACCCAGGGCTTTGTACATATTTTCTTGGAGCTCATATCCACAGTTGATCTCATAGAGTTTTATGACTAAGTAGGATTATGTTTTTCCTCTACTTCAGATGAAACTTTCCTGTGGATATGTGGTAGAAATGCAGGTAGGAACCAAATAAGCAACTATATTCTTACCATTTTGTTGTATCCTGAGCCAATCAGTCCTTCTAGAAGCATAGTTAAAACTCTTCTGAGAGTTCCCATAGAAAAAGACACTATTTCCCTATTCTTAAAGAAGATCCATTCCCTAGTTGGGACAGAGCCAATATATTATTAGTTTTCATTTATTCACCATCTCCCCAACACACACACCTTTTTTTTGGTCAGTCATGGGGCTTGAACTCTGGGTCTGGGTGAGGGCTGTCCCACAACTCTTCTGCTCAAGGCAACTGCTCTACCACTTGAGCCACAGTGCCATTTCCTGTTTTCTTGTGGTTTATTGGAGATGAGAGTCTCACGAACTTTTCTGCCTGAACCGCAATCCTCAGATCTCAGATCTCAGCCTCCTTAGTAGCTAGGATTATAGGCATGAGCCACTAGCGCCCTGCTACCATCCTATTTGAAAATTGCTTGATTCTAGTGTCAAAATACTGCTTCACATTTTGAAAATAATCCTGATGTTAAGTCAAAAATGATCCTCAAATTTAAATATATATATATATATATGTTATCTGAATATTCAGATAGGTAAAATCTATAGATTTACATGGCAAATATTCTTGGAGGTGACAGTACCCTTTCTTCTAAGAAAGTCTTACCTGGGAATTCAATTTTTAAAACATGAAAGTAGAGCTGCTATCACCCCAACCTAGTTGTGATAGCCAAGACTGGAGATTTTCTGATTCCCAATTAAATTAACTAAACTAACAATGTCTAGTTTTCCTCTCTAAGACCTTTGAGAGAATGAACTGTACTTTCTCTAGGATTGCATAATTCTAGTGAAAATGTATTTAAAATTAATTCCTATTGATCATTCTATGAGACTTTGTTAAGATACCAATATGTTATTTTCCTATTAGATATATTTTCTAACCATTAGCAATTGATACTTAAAATATTTTCTATTCTTTCTTTCTTTAGTTAAATAATACTTAGTGAACACCTAAAATAGTTTCCTGCTCTGTGGCCTGTTCAACCCATTGTGGAAGTTTTAATTTTTTCCTCTCTTTGGTAAATTTTATTCCTTCCTCCCCTCGTCCAATGTTCATTCCTTCACTCAACAAAGATATATTGTGCATTTTTTATGGCCAGTGGCTAGATTAGAGGCTTAGGATAGATAAGAAACCTTATTATATTGCTAGCTGCTATAGAAATCCCTCCTTTTTTGAGAGTAAAATCTAATCAATGAAAAGGGTTTAAATTATGTTAAGTAGAGTATCACCAGTGAATGCTCTTGCTCTTTGAGTTCTTTCAGGCAGCACATAAAATGAATTTTTTTCATCTGACATAATAACAAATCAAAGCTAATATAAAAATCAAATCTGGATGGGCATGCCTTGAAAAGCACAAGAGGATTTAGTGCATTTGTAAAAATACCACAGAAATGTATTGTACTTCACCTATGATGCTGTCATTGGGAATGTCAAACTGAAAGCAAACCCCGAGGTACTCCTAATAATTGAAATGGCTTGAGTTCATTTGATGTATTGTCTCTGTGTTGTTGAGGGTTTTTTAAATAAAGAAACCATTTCCATTTTCAATAAGATTCTGCTACTGGAAGAATGGGTCAATGTGACATTCCTAATAATATAGATAGTATACACTATGCCAAATATAATATCACAGCCTCTGGATGTCAAACATCTGGGCCTCAGCTGGGCATTCTGTGTACAAATCTATGTATCACCCTTACAACACTCAGCGTAGGCAGAAGTCTCACACTTGAAGGAAGTTATTTCCAGGTGCATGAGACGAAGCTGTGATGGGAATTCTCTCACTGAATATTGTTTTAGCAGAGACCTAGAGGCAAATATGTGAGTTTTACAATGGAGAGATTGAATTTTTCATTTTCATTCTTACTGGTGGTGACTATTTTAGGAAATGGAGGGTTTGTGGGTTAGACTAGAAGCAGGGAAGGAACTGGGAGACACATCAAAACAGGAATCAGAAAATGCCCATGAGAACACACTTAAGTATCAGATATTTTCTACAGTTCTTCTAACATTTTGACATGGACTTTCCATACATATAAATAAATTATTAGGTATCTAAGGGCCCTTTTTCCTGCTTGGTGATGTTGCTGATGAGTTACAGATTGAAGCCAGTTGTAACAGTTACATCTTACACCACCAAACCAGCCCTTCATTTTTCAAACAGCAATAAATCACTTGATAAAATCCAGGGGGAGGGGGAGGGAATGCAAAGCTATTTGTGTTCTTTGCTCTTTTTTAATGTCAGAGATAAATTTATTTATAAATTCAAAACTTTTTAATGTTATATACTAGTATCTATTAATATTTCTGTTGATTTTAAGAAGCAATGAGAGTCTCCCTGGTGGATTTTGTTGTTTTGTTTTGTTTTGTTTTGAAGAGCACTGATTCAATGTTCTTATTCTTATCACCAAAGCAGCATCAGGTTCAACCTGTGGAGATAATTGCCCTTATTAAATTGTAATTATTGAGATGTCATTTGCTTGCTGCTCAGGGTCTCTTTTATATGTGTGGTTTATAAATTGAAGCAGATTGCCCTCTCCACACAAAAGGATGGGTTATAATTTTAGAATGCAATTAGAGAAGATTGTGAACTTTCTGTAATAATAACTTTAAAAATTAAAATAGACATCAAGTGCTTTGCCCTCATTCTGTGCTGAGTACTTCAATATACATGGATACTCTAATTAAGGATTATTTTTTAAAGTGAGGAGACAAAACAAATGTTTTGTTTCTACTGTGCCCTTTTGAAAACTCATATTAAACTTACAATTCTCTGTCTTGGCTAGCTGTAAATATTTACACACACACACACACACACACACACACACACACACATACACACGTGCGTGCAAACGGTTTCCACCACCTTAACTAAAGTTTTACCTGGTATACCTCATCTCAAGCCATGTGAATAAGAATAAATACACTTTATGGTGATATGATCATAAAATGTAGAGCTCCATGGTTGGAGCATATATTTTCTGAAAAGAATTGTATTTAAAATTTGCATTGTCATGGATAAATATCAGATAAATGTTTCCTAACCTTCCCCAGTGCTGTGGCATGTACTCTATATTATAAAACCACAACAGCTTTCACTCACTGGATTTGAGAGCTGAGGAAAAGTTTTGTCCAAAATAGCAAACAGCCTTGTCAGTATTAACTTAGACCAGCAACTCCCTTCTCCCACTTGGCCACTCTTTTTCCTCCCAGGATGGTACATTTCAAGGCCACAGCATATACAACTCTGCCTTTGAGATCAAAACTCCAGTTTTAATCTCTGATAAACTCCAAGGATCACGTTCCTAACCTTTTTCTCTTCCAGGTCCAAACCACCGTGAAGCGCCAATGGAACCAATTCAAAATCCAGTGGAGCCAGCGTTGGGGAAGACGCCCCGCCAACCGCTCGGCTTCTCGTGCTGCAGCCTCGGCTGAGGCTGGCGACCTCCCTGTTTACATCTGCCATCAGGAGCTGAGGGAGTTGGGGGCCAACAACCATGACCAGGAGGGTGCTGAGATCATTGCATTGAACATCATCGAGCAAGAGTCATCCGCTTGAATGTGAAGCAGGACGCAGCGTTGTGAGCACTGAGCCTTCATATTCTGGGGGAAACAGAAGATAGACCGTGCATTTACAGTGATTCCCATCCTCCCAGGAGCTGAGCATATCATTTGTGAAGAATTATTAAGTGAATTTGTCCATAGTAAATCTGAAGAAAGTTATTCTTGGTACTATTTGCTTTGGGAGACAGTCTAGGAATGGAGTCTCCCACTGCAACTTGTGAACCCCATCATCTACCCTGGACTGAGAAACACATGTCTTAGTAATGCTAGCAAAGTATCCGAGAAAAATAAAAACGCAATTAAGTTGATCTAGTTCAGATACAGGGTGCTCCTTGTTAATCTTGAGCCATTTCTATCTTTGAAAAAATTCAAACCACTGTCAATATTTGTTTTTCTTTTTAAACTCTGGATTTTGAATCAGACTATTTCTGTATTTGGCTACGAATCTGATTTTTAATCTTTTACTTTAAATCAGTTCTGATGATTCTCACTTGTTTTACCATCCATACAATGTCATCCGCACAAATTATACGGCCTCTGGAAGACGTAGTTCTCAAAGATAAGATGGATAAGAATGTGAAGAAAAGAACTGCATTTGTCAGAGAGATGTAATGCTTTGAATGAAAAGAAATGTAAAGTTGGATTGCTGGAACTATTCCATGGCCACCTTGGTCTTGGATAATCCTATCCACTGGGCAGGTTCTAATAGTTGTAAAGAGTCGGTCATAAAGTTGAATGCGCCTTGGTTGTTTACATTTATGAATTGGGAGGTCACAAAGAATCCATCACCAAATTTCCACAAAACTGCCAAAAATGTAATTTTTAGTGGAAGAAAATGCTCTTTAAAGACTTTTCCACTTTCCTAAATGCTAGGGTTTTTAAAAGTAAAACAAGCTGAGGTTTATAAAGCAGATTACCTCTTGTGCCCTTGGGTGCTATCTAGCAGTAGAAGATACATTTGTTTAAGACTGGTAATTAAAAGATTCCATAAAGTCCATTAACTGCTTTCCACCCAGCTTCAAAGCTTAACAAGATTGTAGGAATATTCAGTATGAATAATTAGAAATTGGTTTATAATTGATCTCTTGTATTATCAAAACAAGAGAAAAAAGGTTGCCTGCATATTACTTCATGTTAAAATAAAATAGAGTTTCTCATTAAAACTCAGTGTTACATTTCTACACCTCTCTTTACTTCCCAGCATAAGATCTAAAAACCAAAACCAAAAAAACACAGGAAAAGACCAGTATCATATCTGGCTATGTTGAAATCCTCCAAATCTCATTGTCTTATCCATATCATCTCTATGCTACTGACTTTCAGAAGGGATTTAGTTGTGGAAAGACAACTAAAGAAAACTATGCTGATTCCTGCTGGTTACGTATTTAGTGCACCCAGAGAAAATTAGATTTCTCCAGTAAGATGTATTTTGGATACTACTGCAGTTTAAGTCTTCTTTACTGAGTGCAAGGGAGGAAGAGCAAAGAAGGCATTTTTTTTTCCAATCACAGTGTTACGTAGTGATGTTCCTATTTTTGTTTACAAACTTGGAAAACAGAGTATTCCAGGCAGCTCTCGTACAAATGTGATAATCTATTGCTGAAGTATTTTAAATGTTGTTGTGCTAATGTAGTAGTGACTGACCAGACTCCCGGAGTTCATCATAGTATTGTAAATAGTGCCAACATTGTGTGAACTGCTTCTGCTGTGTACATGTTTAAATCAATACAGAGCATATTAAAAGCAAAATGATGTATATTTGCATATTTTTCTAAAAAAATACATGGTTCATCTTTCATTCATCCATTCATTGTGTCTGCTACTCATTCATTCCCTGCTTCCATTTCCACCATGAGCTGCTGACACCCCACCTTGCTTGTTCCATAGAAGGAAGAAAGAGAACCCAAAGGTTAGGTTAGAAAACATATGTGAGAAAACTATCAAGGACTTTACCTTTATTAATGTAGCCACCTTTAGTCTTCAATTTGACAATGAACTTCGTGCCACAGCTCTCATATCTTTGATAATGCAAAAACCACTCCCAACCGTCAATCTGTTATTGTGTATGTTTAGAGTAGACAACAAAGAAATCCGGCGAGGAAGTATCAAATCCTCTCACTGTGCATTGTTTTGAGATTGTTGTGGGACCATTCTTGATCTGTCTAGCATTATATCAGGTCATTAGAATTGTTACAATTGCCACTTTTTAATGTAGCTGGGGTGGAGAGAGACACTAAGGATGGGTAAAAAGTAACTAAGTATCATTAGAATGCACAAAGGTTACTGTTGATTTGGAGAGCCAGAAATGGAAAACTGAGGATTAAATGAGAACTAAGATGAGCTAATAAAGGTAAACAGGAGCAATTTGTAAGTACTTCACACTATGTGATAGCATCCAAAATTGTTGCCTCATGAAATCTGGGGAACTTTTTCAGAAATGATACATAAGGGCTGAATTGTTTCCTAAATGTTCCACAGTGATACAAATAGATACTATTTTCCCTGTGATCTTGAAGAACAAAAGCCATTTTCCATTATAGCCTAAAACCTAATCCTTCAACAGAATGACTTACATTCAGTCATCTGCCCACCTGCTTTGATTCCTAACTACAAAGTGATTCAAAATAGGCAAAGTACAAATGGATAATATGATTCTCAGAGGAAGAAAAGCTAGTGGAAGAGACATGAAAAATGTTAATAATGGGGCTACGAGAGTTTTCATTCATTCATTCAGCACTCATTGGTTCTGCAGATGTTTCATACACCTTCCATCCTCCCATAGTAACGTTTATTAATAGTAATTATCATGGCAAAGTTTCCTTGCAGAGATGACCACCTCTTTTCTGAGTTAGTGGTCAAAATCAAAACCTACTAAGTGAAAAGTATAACCACTCATAACTTTGGGGTGGGAACACAGAATGACACATGTGGTTGGAGGTGCCAGTGTCCCTCCTCATGAACACTAGACCAAAGAACTCCAGTTATCAGATGCACTCTGAAAGCAAGATCTTCATACAAAGTTTTGATACTATCTTCTTCAAATACAAAAAGTCTGAAACATAGATCCATCCATCAGTTACATTGCAGTCTGCTGCCTGCCATGAGAGTTAACACTTCAATGTTTATAATGAGATTACTTAGAATAAGTGGAAATCAGAAAAGCAAGCTGAGAAAAAAACACAAGGTGAAGTCAGAAACTCCATCTGATACTAATATTGAAATAAAGATAAGAAAGGATGTTGTATAGAATAGATAAGCTAATCGTCAATGATACTAATATTGAAATAAAGATAAGAAAGGGTTGTTATATGGAGTAGATGAGCTAATCATCATTGACTTATTTATTTTGAGTACAACATTCCAGTAATTGGTGTTTATTTGCTGCTTCTTTAATTACTTTTATTTAGAGATATTCTCTATAATTTAAGGGCAAAGTATGTCTCTCCCAAAGGAATGGGTGAAGAGGTAAAAAGTAGAACATAAAAACAATGAGAGATACAGAGGGAAAGACAATAACTAGTCAATAGTCACAGAAAGACACAAAAAGCCTGCAATGGGAAATGGGATATATTTGCAGAAATATGGTTAAAATTCTTCCTCAGTTGAAAATAAAAGACTTCAAAATAGAAATATTTCAAAGAGTTCCAAATAATTTTTAGGGAAAGATCAACATGGCATGACAGAAGGTTGAAACTTGTATCTCACAGGAGAAAGATGAATATTGAAGGAGAAACCTGAATATTGAAGAAAGAAATATCAATAAATAAAAGACTAATAAGATATGTAAAATATATCCTACTATGACAACCAATCTTGGATCAGAACAACAAAGTCACACAGGCAACAAGAGACACACACAACATGAACTCTTAAAAAGTTCAACAAAATAAACACCAGAAAATGGGTACTTGAAAGGGGTGGGAGTTCCTAAGAGGAGATGGATAGATAAATGAAGAGGAAATGAGAAAGAGAATACAGTCACAAATTCAATGTATAGCCTACAAAAGTCAGAAAATTGAGGTAAGTTGGATTGGGAGAGATGGGTGGGAATGCTGAAAGGAGTGTCATTGATCAAGATGCATTTTATTTCTAAACTGCTTTGTTAAAACCCACCCCTACCCCCAATAAAAGTAAACAGGGATAGGAACATTATGCTGGGGAAATATGAACCAAAAGAAACCAGTGGGAGCTATCTTAATATTAAACAAAACATAAAAGATGTCTTGGTCCTTTGGGGTGTTTTAACAAATTTTCTTCAGACTGGGTGATCTATAAGCAGAAATTGATGTGCACAGCTCTAGAGGCTCAGAGTTTGAGATCAAGATGTTTGCTCAATTCAATGTCTGATGAAGGCCCACACCTCGTAGATGATGCTGTGATAAATGATAAAGGGAGCCAGGGAACTCTTTCAGGCCTCTGCCATTAGGGAAATAGTCACACTCAGGCAGTAAAAACTCCTTGTTAGTTTATCATTTCTCGTTCTTCTAAGTCTGTTACTTTGGAGATTCAGTTTTAATATAAGACATTTGAGAGGACTTGGGCGTTAAGATTAAAACAGACAAAAACAAAAAATGATAACCCAATAAAAGTTTTAATTCAACAGAACACTTAGCCACCTAAATTCATGCATACCTTAAGATGCACCTTCAACATGCATCAAACAACACTGAGATGAGCACCACCAAGAGACAGATGGTGGCTCAAATTGTAGAGCAAAAAATTATAGAAAACATGCATTCTCTTTAAGTATGCCCAGAATGTTGATGCAACAGTGCATTTAAGAACAAAGTATATATTTACAACAGAAAAATTGAAACCACACAGAAGATCTCTGCCCATAACGCAAAATAAATAAATAAAATCAATAGAAAAAATTGATGCTAGAAACAAATATTTCTAAGTAATTCTCACTTTTTTGGGGGGGGGGCTTGAACTCTGGGCCTGGGCTCTCTCCCTTAGCTCTTCAGCTCAAGGCTAGCACTCTTACCATTTAGA